AATTACATTTCACAATCAAATAATGAAAAGTACATTACTTAACGACTTACTTTAGAAATGAAAGGACTAAATGAATCATTTACGACTTTCTTTGAAACTACAAGTTCAAAAATCAGTAAATACATAATTCTTTATTTTGTCATTGTTTTAACTATGTCAGTATTATATCTAACATGGTTATGTGTATTATCTAATAAACTTGATGAATATCAAATCAAGTTAAATAAAGAATGAAAGAAAGAAATTACAATAAAAAAACATCAATTAAGACTAGAAATACTGAAATCTTTGAAAGGAAATTCAATGCTAGGAACTTCAGTTAGTTTTCTTCTTGACGTAGTCCATTGAATTGACTCTTTAGACAAAGTTCTGAAATCATGTGTAGATTGTTCAATAATGATTCTTTCTTTTAAAGGAAAAGTGTCTTTTGTTTTTTCTAATACATGACTGTTTTCACGTACTTTTAATATTAACTTCATATCTTCATCCAAAGGATTGTACTTCTTAATTGTTCTTGATTGATATATTTCTGTTTCTTGTTTAGTGAGTTTATTGTTATAAATGTCTTTAATCCAACATAATGTTGACCTATAAAGAATAAAATAATGAAAGTGTTGACGAACAATATCTGACCAATGAGTGAAGAAGAAATAGAAACTATCATTAATTAAATAAGTTATAATAGGCACTCTTGACTCAGTTGGAAAAGTTTGAATGGAATGATAAAGTGTGTCTATTAATTTTGTTAATGCATATGAGTTATCAGCAAGTTTTGAAATATGAAAAGCATTTATTAAGAGTTTACTATCAAAAGGTAATCTAGTCAAAGGATTAAAAACATCGTGGTGTTGAGTAATTAAATTAATGTATTTATTGAATGTATTAGCCATTTTAATAATTGACTGATAATTTAAGTAATTTGTATTTGTAACAACCATTGAAAATATTTGATTAAGTAAAGTTGAGTCAACACTAAATAAGAATTTATTCAATGAATAACCTTGTTGATGTCTTATTGATTCCCCATGAATTTTAAAATATTTTGATAAAAGACATTGATATTCAACTGACTCATTTAATAGTTGTTCAAAATTATCATTTTCTAATGCACCAAGAACAAATCCTTTAGTAATACAAACAATAAAATCATTCATTGAATAATATTGAAGAATTTCATTAATATCTAAATTATCATTTGGAATTGCAATTTGATATTCTTCTGGCAATACTCGTTCTATCATTTTATTTGGTAATGAATCAATAATTCTAATCCCACCATCTGGTATTTCAATAATTTTCATTAATCCTAGATATAATGATGGAAGAACAAGACATGCTCTTCCAATAATCCAACCACATAATTTCATAATTACCTTATTTGATTCAATAACAATTACTTTTTCATCATATATTCTCTTAAATATTCTTTCAATACATTGGATAGTATGAATAAATAATCTTTTATATTTACTAAATATTCCAAAACAATCATCAATACATTTTCTTTTAATTGCCTTTGTTACAATACATTCTTGAAACAATGTAAATATTGGACTATTAATTAACCTTACTTCATTCAGTTTTTTTTTATATCTCAAATATTAACAAACTGCTTCATGCAATTATAAATAATCTGTAGTATTAGTGTTAAAGTTTTTTCATGTGATATAATGTCAATTAAACTAATACAACTATTCCAAATAGAAATAATAGTATTTGCAATGTTTTCTCCATCTTTAATTTCCATATGATTTTTATATTTTTGTTGTTCAGAGACTAATGCTAAAATGAGTTTTTTCATTTCTTCCTGAAAATTACTAAGTTTTGCCTATACCACTGTTAATAAATTTTATCGTTACTTTCTACTGAGTAATAAAGTTAAATAAATTCCAAACAGTTAACCATGTTTTAAAAGTTGTTTCTGATAATCCTTTTGATGTTTCAATGAATTTTCTTATTTGTTGTTCCGAGAGTTGAATTTGTTGCATATTTCTTTATTATCTTTAGTATTGATTTTGAAGTTTAAGGAATGAGAGTTTTTTTCTTTCAGTATGTGTAGAATTTATACAACTTCATTTATGAACAAAAAATAATAAAAACAAATTTTTGATTCTTCTTTGTTATTCAATTTTGTTTTTTTAAGTTTTGTTTTAATGAATAAGTTATTCTATATCATAAAAAACCGTAACACTAATAAAAAACAAATCATTGATAACACATTGATTGCTGAGAACATACAGGGATTTGAGAAAGAACAGAGAGGCGATCAAGCTTTTCTTTTTCTTGAAGAAACCAGTTAGGATATGAAATATCTTCAATATCTACATCAACAGAAGAACAACTATATTTTAAAAGTTCAGAACAACATTGGTTTGGTGAGAGTGAAAAAAATTTTTGTGAAAGAGATAATTGAAGATTAACTGGGATGTTTAAATAATTCATATAGTCTTTTAGCCATTTTAATCTCTCTGATTCTTTATACTGTTTTGAATTGAAAATACAACCACAAACCTCACCTGGTTTAATATTCATTTGTTGTATTGATTTACATTTTTCAGGACTAAAATTAATATGACTTCCTTTTAATCCATAACAATGTTGAACAAAATATTCTAATTGTTTCTTTTCTTTTCCTCTCATTAAATCAACTCTTTGTCTCATATATTCCATACAAACATTTGCATCAACTCCTGCATTCTTTAAAAAAATAACAATTTGTCTTCTTGTATCATATTTCATTTGGTATTTACCAGAAGATAATGAATGAATATGATACATACATGCAGGTAACTTTGATAAAACTACAGAAAGTTCTCTAGTATTATCAAGTATTGTTTGTTGTTTTGTTTTTGGTAAAACGGATAATAAAGGTTGAAGAAGAAATGGAGGTTCATTTCTGAGAAGTAATAAATCAATAAATTTTGGTTGTTTTAAAGGATTAAAAATACAATAGATAAAACACCCATAGATTAGTTCATTAGATGGAATTAATAAATATCCATTCTTTAATCTATATTTATAAAGAGGAAGTAATTGTGAAATTTTTTGAAATGGTACTTCGACTAATGGTATTGATGAAGTTTGAATTATATTTTTACATTGTAAAAGAGAAAAATGATTAAATGGAGATGTAAGATATAATCTATGAAGAAAGATAATACTTTCAATATTATCAAATATGTCTTTTCTTGAATGAAATGTTAAATAAAAATAATAGTAAGATAAATGGTCAAGTTGAATTTCTTTAATAGTTGTTAATGGTAAATTTTCTGAAATTAAATGAATTAATTCTTTATAAACCTGAACTTTCATTAAATCTTCATTTTCCATTGGTAATTGATATTTTTTTAAAATAGTGAAATAAATATATGTTCTCTTTTCAATTATATCATAAAATTCACTTCTTTTATAACTATGAATTAATTGAATAAATATTGATTGATCAAATTCTTTATACATTTGTAATTTGATGTCGTCTTTTGATTCATGAGGAAATTGTATAAACTGAGTTATTTCTTTTCTGTTCATTAAAACTGGAAGTTTAAACCCATTTTATTCTTTTTTACTAATAACACAATTTTATTATTTGTGTTATTTTATTTTTTTGATTTTATAATAATATTAATTTATTATTTAATTTATTATAATTTTATTCAATAAAATTACTTTTATTTTGTTAAATAATTTCAAGATATATCATCTCGAAGTTAATCGAATTCTTTATGGAGTGTGTCATTGGTATTGATTTAGGAACTACTTTCTCTTGTATGGCAGTATGGAAAGAAAGTTCAAAGAGAGTTGAGATTATTACTAATAGACAAGGAAAAGAAACTACACCATCAGTTGTAGCATTTACTGATAAACAACGATTAATTGGAGAAGAGGCAATAAATTGTACTGGAACAATAGTATTTGATGTTAAAAGGTTGATTGGAAGAAAATATAATGATCCAGAATTACAAAAAGATTTAAAATATATTACATACTCAATAAAAGATAATGGAAAGAATGAACCTATCATTGAAGTTCCTTATATGAGTGTTTTAAGTGCTTTTAGACCAGAAGATATAAGTGCAATGTTATTAAGAAGATTTAAAGAAATTGCAAGTGATGCAATGGGAAGAGATGTGAAGAAAGCTATTATAACAGTTCCTGCATATTTTAATGATTCTCAACGAGAATCAACTAAAAATGCTGGTAAAATAGCAGGGTTTGATGTTATGAGAATTATTAATGAACCTACAGCGGCTGCAATTGCTTATGGATTTGAACAAAATATTAAAGAAAAAAGTAATGTTCTTGTTTTTGATCTTGGAGGAGGAACGTTTGATGTAACACTATTATCTATTGATAATGGAGAATATAAAGTCATTGCTACAGATGGAGACACTCATCTTGGAGGAAATGACTTTGATACAAAATTACTTGAATTAGTTCTTAATAAATGGAAAGAAGAGGATAAAGATTTTGTAGAACAACTCAGTAAGAAACAAATCTTTAAACTACGTAAGAGATGTGAAATTGCAAAAATTATTCTTTCTAACAAACTAGAAACTAGAATTGATATTACTGATTTCTATGATGATGCTGACGAAGAAGACGATGATGATAGAATATGTGAATTAGTTATTACTAGAGAAGAGTTTGAAAATGTTAACAAAGAATTGTTTTCACGATGTTTCATTTCAGTAGAAAAGGTATTACAAGTAACACAGGTTAAAGCAAAAGATGTTAGTGAAGTTGTATTAGTTGGTGGATCAACAAAAATTCCTAAAATTGAACAAATGGTAAGTCAATTCTTTGGTAGAAAACCATGTAAAAGTATTGACCCAGATAAAGCAGTTGCATTTGGAGCAGCACTTCAAGGAGCGTCTATGATAGGACAAATGCAAGAGAATAA